GGTATAACAATAAGTAGAGCTATGATTTAGTGTTCTTTGTATCTTGTGCCAACGTCTCCAATAACCATCGGATTGAGTCGAAGATCTTTATAATATCATGTGTGATATTTAGTGAGTGAGGGGATTTGGGTTATTTACTGAATTTGGATATTGTTTTCAATTTTTGCTCTTATTTCTAAAAGCATTGGGAAAAATGGCGAAGAAGAAAAGTCATCCAAAAAGGAGAAACGTATCTTTATTTTTATTTTTTTTCAAGAAAAAGGATTGGTAACAAGTCTGCATATTTCGTAGCAATTTCTGGGCATGCTTTAATGGCCCAAACTGCACGGCCGACAATCATTTTCAATCTAAATATGAATTTCCAGTATAAAATAGATAGTGTCAATTCTTTATATACAACTTCAGCTTCATATAATACCAATAGTTGTTGATTCTAATAAAATGAGCTATGACTGTATAAACACAAGGTCTTGATTCCGAGTTCTTGCATAAGCAAAAAAGGTCTTTGAAAGAGCTACCTTCAATTGAGCACAACAATACTCAAATTTGACTTAATTAGATAAACCATATAAAAAGACTTTAAATATTCATAGATTCTTAACTGAAAAGGATCTGCCTTCAAGTTTTTTGTCATCAATTTGTTAAATGAATCAATTATTATGAAAACAACTATACATTGAGATTAAATGAACACCATAGCTCCATAGGAGATATGAGATGTCTCGTGATTTGATGGTGCTTACTGTAAAGTGGCCTGGCCGCCATGAGACCTCATTAACAGTGTTTTTTTAATGAGCTGATTGTGCCTTGTTATTTGGGGAAAAAATGTGCGTTAAAAAAAGAAAAAAAGAAATGCTTCTCTATCCAAAGGTGAGACCAAAAAATTGATTATAATGGTGTAAGTTGTGCCGTGCATATAATGTCTTTTAGTTGTCTCTTGCAACTACGTACTCTCTAGTTTTCTTGTGAATTTTGAATAGTTCTTTTATCAAATTGCTTTGTAATCAAACTCTCTTCAATAATTTAATAAATAAAGCAAGTATATAGAAAATGATGTCATATTTGTGGATATTACTTTTTTATTATATATTGTTTGGTTTAAAAATTTAAAATTCATTTTTATTATTGTACAAATTTATTTATTTTTATATTGAACATATATTATTTAAAATATAATTATTCATGACCAGTTGGATTAGAGTTTAGATCACAGTCCGGCCCTATTGAATTGTAAACTAGTGTTTGGATTAGTTTAATGGCCAATCTAATTATCTGAACATTGATAAAAATGCACTTTAATCAAAAAATTAATAATATCACATCTAACACATAGATTTAAAACAGAATTCCATCCCTAATTTTTGTAGAATAAAATCATACGAAACTGATGATTTCATATCACTAGATTGCAAGAATCCTCCTGCAATACTCCCATGCATCCTAGTTTACTTTTATAGAGTTCGAACCATCGTGCTCATCACCCAATGAGCAATCTGAACATTTTAAATATTTTTATATTATATTTATCAAAATAAAAATTATAAAAAATTATAATATTAAATATAGACTATCTAGAGTATATCTAAATAGTCAATTACCATTTTTACCACTTTTCACATCAAACACACAACTTTGGTGTTCCAACTCAACCACATGTGCCAAAAACCTACATTAAGCCTCCGACCATACTCAATGGACTCTAGTGGATCCGTGTAACACACTATACACAACAAAAAACTCATAAATCTCAAAATCATCACTCAACTCCTAATTTTATAAAACACAAGGGAGAGGAAATTCATGCACAAATCCATCTTTATCATTTCAAATCATTCAAAATACACATGCTCCTATTTGCACAAGTATTTTAGACCTATCTACGGGTTTACAACTATAACTCACTAACCCAAGGCCCAAAATACGCAAGTTGTGTGCTATAATAATGCAAGTAGTGCAAAATATCATATGAAATCTAGTTGGTATTTGAGTCAACATTTATACACATAAAACGACAAAGAGATGCATACAAAAGGATTACACTACAAATCCTATGCCTCTACGTGTTTTCCCCAACTCAGATTCGATGAGCTAGCCTGAAAAATATTGAGAATTTAGGGGTGAGTACAATCACTCAATAATCAAATTTCACCTAATCTATACAGTTATATATTAATTGTAAACAAATGCAAATAGGCAAAAACACACCATCACAACACATACAATGAACTTGGCCATGATTTACAATACTAACAACCATATGACCAAGACCAAAAACACACATAACCATATTAATTTATAATGCACAACATGAGGTCACAATAATACTAACCATGCACCCCTAACACATGCCAAACCACAATACTAACAACCATATAGCTGGATGCATGATCATATGCCAACCTTATACCTTCTTGTTACCTCCGACATAAAACTGATGACTATCACATGGTTACATCCTTCACAAATTAACCTAGCCTTTCACTTGTGAGGAGCTACTGGGCTAGGGTTAACTTACTCACTTATGTAATCCAGTTTCCCCCAATATTAACAATCATGGGGTGTTGTACCCCTAGTATAGCCTCCTCATGAACTGGTGGAGTCTAGTAAGGTTCAAGTCCCTCATAGAACAAGTAGGACAATCCCAAATCAACCATAGGACAAGGGCTACCTCCTAATTCTAACGGTCGGTGCCAAGGCAAGTTCTCGATTCTAACTGTCACTACCAATACCACGTGGATTTAACCAACTATTCCTCTCTCTAGGCGAACTCCTGCCAATAATCATGCTATGCACACTCATATAATTATGCATTCAAATTAAACATATCATGTCATATAAACTACATACTCCTACTCAATTACTCCAAATACTCCACATTACAAATAAAAATTTTCACTCACAATAATATGCCAAGATAAATTCATAAATCACAATTAGATGGCACATAAGAGGTTTTCATTTATCAAACCCTTCACAAGTTCATCATTTTCCAAACTTACATCTATAGTTCAAAGTATAAATCATGATTCAAATCAACCCATTTTCAACCAATAACAAATTAATATTCAACTATATAAAATTAAGTTTCTCTCGGTTACCTCAAACCTTTTAGAGGTTAAAGATTTACCCCTCTAAATACTGACTTTCAAAGCTTCTCACACGCTTGAATGGTGACACAATGATTCACACTACAATCATAACACAAGGATATCATTCATTATCCCATTTTTGTGAGTAATCTCCACATTCTCTATTCTATCGATCCCATGATTCGCTACCCATTCATACTTAATGTGTTCACTAAGTTCTATTAACCCACATTATCACTATTGAATAACTAAATAACCATTAATGAGCCTCAACTCTCCCAACAACTATATTAATGGCAATTTTCACATAAAAATAACTCACCCTAATAAACTCTTGATAAAATCATAAATGTAGGATTTACATACTCTAAACAACTCCCATTATATCTACTTTAACCAATGAAATCGAACCCACTACTCCTATGGATCGAAAATCAACCTCCTAACTCAAAGCCTAACTTAAATCTTTATAAATGTAGTAGAGAAGGGAAGATGAGAGCACAAATTACTTACCTTGAATGTTTGAGAGCTTTAAACTATCACCAATGTGATCTAACAATGTGCCTTAGTAGAGCCTCATACATGCCTTTCGTTTTTACTTTTCCTCCTCTTTTGATTTTACACACAGAAATGAAATGATTAAATCAAATTTTTAACTATGCACTGTGGCAGATGCAGCCCTCTACCATGGCGCATGGCACAAAAAGGCCTATTGCATTTAAATCTGCCTCTATGCGCTACGACGGATTGACCACACGCCACGGCATATGGCACAAAAGGCTTCTCCTTACTTTTTTTTCTCTTTCTTTACCTGGATGGCCTGCCATTGATCCGAACCCACTTCTAAAGCAAAAATCACAATCAATTACACCAATTAGGCTCCTTTGGTCACACACCTCATTAATTCAATAATCACACTCATTAGGTTAATTAATCATGCCTAATTTTCCCGGATGCTACATTCACACTAGGTTTTAGATTCTAGTTGAGAAATTTAGGTCACATTTGGTTACTAGATAGAAATGGAATGGAATAGATTGAAAAAATAAAGGTAAAATGTGATGTGATCAAAAGGAATAGTGAACCACATTTATAAAGGAATGGGGTAATTTAATTCATGGGGTTGAGAATCATGATTTATGAAATTTTTGGAGGCTGTGATGATTCTCACATTTGTAATATATATTATTGAGTTTTATTATACTTACTATGAGGAAGAAAGGTGATTTAGTTCATTTTTGTGTTGATTTTTTCAATATATTCCATTCTATTCTTTTCTAGTAACCAAACGGGACTTTAGGATTCACTTTAAACTTTAATCATTGTCATAAAAATCATGTTTGTGGGGAGATGATTTAAATTGTGTAACTAGGCTCATCAATAACAAAGGATGAAAGTATTTTTGGCCCAAAAAAATAGAGGATGAAGTCTCTGTTTCTTAATTATCACTCTCAGAATGAATTGAACCAAGTGAATCTTCATACAAAAAGTGAGAAATGAAATGTTTATAACCCTGTTCATGTTATATGACACATTTTTCAGAGCAAGGCAATAAAGGATGGTTATTGGATATTTTCATCCATTTAGAAAAAATAAATGATACATTAATATTGATAAGCAAATCCATCATCGTTCTATCAAATACATTATGATGAAGAGGAATCAAATCATTCATCAAGATGCACATTTACCCCTCATTATGTAATTTCCAATTTTTTTAGTGTTATGCAATATCTTGAATGAATCTACTTTATACTGGGAATGTTCCATAGGTTTGTCTTTCTTTTAAAGGAAAGTAAGTGCCATTCATATATATATATAGAGAGAGAGAGAGAGCACCTAATGGACTTCAAAGTACTTGGTATTTATTCTAATGCAACGTTTTTAAGAAGGAAAAAAATTGCTTCCAAAGAACATACTCAAAATGGCAAAACAAAACACAAACAATGGTTGTAATATTACATAACACAACAAATAGCACAAAAAAGAACATATAGTATTTAAAAGCTCAGCAACATGTATGCTTTAATATTCCATTAATGTCATATATCCAGCATAGCATGCATCCTATCCCATCTTAAACTTGGAGGTTTTCACCCTAGTCTCTCCTGCAAAATGAAAGGGGGAAAATAATAGTTGTATTTTTTTAAAAAAATATGGATAAACTTTAAATAGAAAAATAAGAGAAAAGATGCATATATGATTGATTACCAAGTAACCTTTGAGCCACTGATTGCATTTAGTCATCTTTACTATAGTTAGAACAACCACAGTGTCCATCAAATTGTTTAGAAATCTAAAGTAGGCATGTCTCCACGAGCGACTAAAAAGAATTGAGCCGAAAATTCCCCAAAATCCTATGATGAATCCCAATGACATGCTCCAATAGAACTCCTTGGAGAGAATTGATTCATGCTCATCTTCTTTGAACGTAGTTGGCTCTTGATGCTTCTCCTCCTCAGGACATATTTTTTCAAGTGGTTTTCCACAAAGGTCAAGATTTCCTTCATAACTTGAGCTACTAAAACTTTGCAATTGTGTGCCAATTGGAATTTTTCCAGAAAGGTTGTTATATGACAAATCCAACACTGAGAGACGATCAATCTGAGCAAGGCTTGAAGGAATTGGACCAGAGAAATAATTTCTTGATAAATCAAGAAAGTCTAGTGATGTTAATCGTCCAATCTCTGAAGGAATTTCTCCATAGAATTAATTTCTTGATAAGTTTAATGATACCATTTGAACTAAAATTCCTAATTCAGCAGGAATTCCTCCAGATAATTGATTGCTTGAAAGATCAATGCCTATTAAAAGTATATTTTTCATAAAGGTTCGTTCCATACCTTTCCACATCAGCAATGCACTTATCTCAGTTGGCACTTCTGCATATAATGTCAATATAAAGTAATAATCTTGAAGATATGAAGAACTGCTAATAGCCATTAGTGTAAAGCTTTTGAAGCATCTAGGTATTTGTCCTGATAGATTGTTTAATGAGAGATCCATGAAATGAATTCTTGTCAAATGACAAAGATGAATTGGCAGGCTTTTAGAAAATTTATTACTTCGTAATATTAAAATTTCTAACTCTTGCAATCCAATCCCAATCCATGAAGGTATATCTCCAGAGAACTTGTTTTCCCCAGCATCTAACAATCTTAAATTTGAGCACCTCCTCAAGGTAATTGGTAACTCCCCACTGAAGTTATTGTTTCTCAATATCAACTGTTCAAGGTTTATTAAGGACCCAATGGAAGTAGGAAATTCTCCAAAAAAATTGTTATTATTTAAGTACAAATGCTCTAATGATTTGAAATTACTCCAACAATTAGGAAGTTGTCCAAATAGTTGATTGTTGGAAATATCTAATATGGACATGTGTGAAGTTACTCGATTTGCACATAAAAAATGGTGAACATCTGAGAAATTATTATCTGATGCAAAAAGGGCAAATGCTTTACGAACAAATTGGGGAATTTCACCTTCAAAATGGTTGGAGGCCAGAGATATAACAGGATATTCAATCAATTCTAGGGGAATATTTGGTATTGTACCAATAAAATTATTGCATGAAATATTCAAGTGAAGTAGCTTTGGTGTCAACAATGCTCAAAACCACTCTGGAATAGGAGCTAAAATTCTAGCATTGGAAATATCGAGTTCAGTGAAATTATTTTGAGTTCTTAACCATTTGGGAAAACCAGGACCTAAATTACAAGATCCCACATGTATGGCTTGCAATTGAAATGATGGAACCCAGTTATGGTTAAAGTTCAAATCCAATGTGTTGTGAGATAAGACCAAATTTTTTAAGCTAGGTGTATTAGCAAAATGGAATTCAGTGAAAGCACCTTTCAAAGAGTTGAACATGATATCTAAAGTCTCTAATGAAGAGGGAAATTGAAATCTTTAGGTATTGACCCACTTAGCAAATTTCTTGAAATGTCAAATGTCTTTAAAGATGTGAATGTGGAAATGTTAACCAGGGTGCCACTGATATGATTGGTATATAAGTTCAACTCTTGCAAAGAATATTTTGCACATCCAGAAAGAGATTGAAGGATTGTCAGAAGGTCTTCACTCAAATGGTTACAGCCTAAGGATAATGAACGTAAGGTACATATATTCCTTAAGGATTTAAGCCCACCCTTGAGGTGATTAAAATTAAGGTCCAAATTAACAAGATTGGAGCTAAGATTTGAGATCCAATGGAATATTAAGGATGACATGAATTTATTGTGAGAAAGATCAATCGTATGAAGAGAAGAGGAATTGAATTTTAAAGAGGGTAACGAAGGGATATACTGATCTGAAAGGTCATTGTTTGGTAGCATCAATTCTTTCAACCTCGGTATCTGTCCAATCATTTGCAGCCACTTGTAAGAATATTTGAGATTGGTTATGTTCCTTAACATAAGATGGGTCAAACTTGTGAGACTAGAGAGCCACTCACCTCCACCCCCATTCTTTTGCTTAATTTTGAGAGCACCATCATTTGATCCGAGGAAAAGCTTTTGCAAGTTTGAAAGGTTCCCAAGTTGAAAAGGTATTACTCCTCTAAGTTCATTGAATGAGAGATCAAGATGTTGTAATTTTGAGAGATTCCCCAGTTGATAAGGCACTACTCCTTTAAGTTCGTTGGATGAGAGATCAAGATGTTGCAATTGTGAGAGATTCCCCAGTTGATAAGGTAATTCTCCTCTAAGATAATTTCCCGAGAGGTCAAGATACTGTAATTGTGAGAGATTTTCGAGTTCACTCGGGATATTTCCACTGCTTAAATCACAATTACGGAGATCAAGGTACCTTAGGTTGCTCAAAGAGCCAAAGAACCTAGGGATATAACTATTATTGAAAGAATTGAAACTAAGGTTGAAATACATCAAGTATTGCAACTCCATCAATGATGCACTAATGTTACCTTTCAAAAACAGTTGGTTTGAATCATCATCACTAGCAAGGTGGAGCATCAAGACATGGCCTGTTTGGTTGTTACAGTGAACTCCTTCCCATTGACAGCAATCTCTCTTGTGCTTTTGACTACCCCATGAAGACCATGCGTAAATGCTTAAGTTATTTGCCCCAAGGCCATCCTTAAACTGAAGCAAGGCTTGCCTCTCCCTCTCTATGCATTGAACCACTGTGCTTGTAGCTCTCCATGAATGAGGAGCAAGGACCCCATACTCAAGCACTAGTATAGCTAACAGTGTGAATTTGAGAAAACCAATGAATATCCTCATTGTTCTTTTCTTTTGGCAAGTAAATCTATCAATCGGTGATGCAAGTAAGGAATTACTTGTGAATCTATTTATAGGGATTATCGCTTAGAGTATCTTATTTTTAAACAATTAAATAAAAGAATCCCTTTTTTTCTTATACGTCAAAGCTGTCCTACTCAAATAAACTTCACATCAAACAAGTTGCGAATGCCTATGAAATATTGACGCAAATATTTGATAATCGATGAACCAATGAACATCCCCATGTAGTTCTTTTCTCTTGGCAAGTGAATCTATTAATTGGTGATACAAGTATAGGGACTTGTAGTAAATTTATTTATAGAGATTAAAATATGTTATTTTAAAAGTTGGGATCATTTTTCCTTCGCTTAGCAGACAATGCATGTTATATCACAAAAAAAAATTATTATTAGCAGTAAGATTTTCCAAAGTAACAACCAGTTGTAATCAAATGAATATTCGGTGATTTGCATATTATTTTGAATTATGATTGATATAATGCTTTCCTTTACTAGCTAGTATGTCTAGTCCAAATATTATGATGATTGCCATTAAATGACTATCTCAAATTGGATAACCTTTGAAAAACTATCTTGCACTTAATTTATAATATTTTATGATTTTATCAAATTATATTATAAAATTATAAACCTAAAAATATGACAGTATATGTAAGCATACGTTTTATGCTTGTTCTATTAGGAAATTATATTAGTCAAAGTCCACGTTGTCCCCCCTCAAAACAAGGCACCATTTTGTATCACCTTTATCCCAACCTTCACGGCCAATATAATTATCATTTTTTATTCTGTTGTCTAAAAAAGCAGTTAGAAAAATGGAAAAGCACTATCATTTTTTACTTTTGATTCTACTTTCTAAAAGCAGTTGGAAAAATGGCAAAGAATTGACAGCAACACAGCTTGATTCCTGGCAATTTTTGGTGGGCATGCTTTATTCAACTCTCTATATGAATAATCAATTATATATTGCTTAGAGTTTATGTTATTTCTATACAATCTAAATGAACTACATTTTCTAAAATGCGCAATTTTTTATTTCGAATTAGTTTCTTCAATTTAGCTTCGCATAGTTTGTTCAATGATTTTGTTGCCAATAACATTAAGAAAAATACATAGCCTTATAACAATGAGTCTCATGCCTTGAATAGGCATTAGCCAATGGTAATATATAGTTATTGCGTCAATACATGATTGCATGACAATCATGAGACTTCAAAATTGATACGTTCAAATCTTTCATTGGAACCAACATTTTCATATTAGAAGAATATCCTTGTAGCACCTTAATATCATATAAACAACCACGTAAGCTTAATGTTTTCTACTTTTCAGATAATGTGTGTACAGCTAAAGGTAAATAAGTCCTCGTTCCCTCTTCATGTCATGCAAATAAGTATTCTCTTATTCTCATTTTAGTAAAGTCTAGTCTAGCATTGATTTCATCTTGCTATCTTCCAATTTATGTGCATAAGAGTACTAACAAGACTATCATAAACATATTTCTTTACATGCATCACGTACATTATGGTCGTGCCTTATATCAAGACTTTGCCAATATGAAAGATCAAAGATTGATCTTTCTTTTGACAAATTCTTTTCCATTTGCAATTTTTCAATTCTTCCCAAAAATTACACTAATTCTTTCAACCCGTTGATAAACTTAGTTATCAATTAATGACTTCAGAGCAAATTTATACTCTTATAAGTTGTTAAAAGCCTTTTTTTAATCTACAATAAGAGTGATAATGACTTAGAAACCTCCTATGATAAAAGTAAATTATTTTTTCTTCCATGCTTAAGTTGTTACAATATGTAGTTATTATAGAAAGCATGTATTTTTTTTATACTCTATATCCAGGGGACACGAGATTTTCTTAGCCTCGTAATTGCATTTCAAAAGTCATTATCACTCGAAAACATATTGATATGAAACAAGAAGGGTATAAGGAGAGAGAGAGAGAGAGAGATCAGAGAGAGGAAAAAAGAGGGAAAGGCCTACTACTACCAAATAAGGCTTTGGTATTTTTAAGTATTAGAGTCAAAGTCCTGTCCCTCAAAACAAGGCACCAGTGTCTGTTACCTTTACCCCAACCGGCCAATTATCATTTTTTATTGAAAAAATTACACCTATGATGTAAAGAAAAGATTTAATTATCAAGAGATTTTATAAAATCTATAAAATACTCTCAAATTTCAAATCATGCACATTTACAACTTGATAAAGGACATTTAAATTGAACAATAGGCATTTATAACTTATTATTTTAAGTTATCAATACCCGCTGTCTAGTTGTAAATGTAATTTGCCATGTTTTAAATGCATAGGATTTAGCACTTGAAGTATTCTATACATTTCATAAGATCTCTTGATAATTAAATCTCTTTTGTGAGACCTAAGTATAATTTTCTCTTTTTCATTCTGGCATCTAAAAATGCAGGTAGAAAAATGGTAAAGCACTATCATTGTGGCCCCAAGCACTATCATTTTTTACTTTTGATTCTACTTTCTAAAAGTAGTTGGAAAAATGGCAAAGAATTGACAGCAACATAGCATGGTTCCTAGCAATTTTCGGGCATACTTTGTTCAATTCAAGTCTCTACATGAATAATCAATTATTGCTTAGAGTATATGTTATTTTTATACCACTGAAATGAACTGCGTATTCTAAAATGTGTAATTTTTTTGTTCCAAAGTGAGAATTCGTTTCTCCAATTTAAAATCGCATAGTTACAGGCTGCTTGTTGAGAAAATTATTATTTCTTATGATATATCAATAAACTTGCTATATATATTTGCCTACGTTTAATTCTGATTAAACAAGTTTGACAAAAATCTTACCAGAGTATTGTGTCACTAAATCAAGTAACCCAAGTTTTGTCATGTAATATTTTTTGTTATTACATTATGTGTGCAATTCATTTCAATTTCCTCTCCTAGAAGAGAACAATAGAGAGAAATCAAATATCCAAGAGAGAAAGATGCAATAAATTTAATGTGTCTTTATCTTTTTTTTTTACATAACAATATAAAATAATTTTATTGCATACAAGAATTTTTTTATTAGATGTAATTCTATTCAAGATAAGTTCAGGCACTAAGTATGGATCAATAAGAATTTAAACTTTAATTCATTACGTTGGAAGAAACTAACGCATTTTGGTTAAACCCAACCCTTGTTAATAGTTTCTTACAATTTTAATATCACTATAGTATAATTATTCTATAATAAAATTTTAAATATATGTAAAACTATTTCAACTAAACTTATGATAAATTTCTCGCGGAATCAAATTATTATCATAAATTGGTTAACATTTAAATTGTTTATATTATTTTATGATTTAATCAAATTATCTTGTAATGGAAAAAAACATAAAAACATGACTGTATACTTCAGTTATGTTTTTCGCCTGTAAACTTCATCGTCAAAGTCACGTCTCTCAAAACAAGGCCAAGAAAAGTACAGTAATTCACTTCTGCCCATGTTTCACAGCCCATCATCATTTTCCTTTTATATATATATATATATATAGTTTACGTAAATTAAATCTTAGAAACTTATTATTTTCATTCTAATTTCTAAGATAATCAAAGACAAGCATGTGACACTCATCAATAAAGTACTGAAAATTGAACCGGTCATTGCACCGATCAAAACAATAGTTTAAAAATTAGAGATCAAACAAAACGTTAACCTTGAACTAAATCAGTCATAATAATATAATATAATTCAAATAGATTAAATATTCATATTTGACTATAAAAAATAGTAAAATTTAAATAAAAAAGTCTTCAAGTCTCAAGTAAATGAATATAAAAAATATCAATTCAAGGATTCAATTTTGAATCAGGGTTCAACATTCAAAAGAGAAAAGGAATAAAAAGAAAAATAAAATAAATCTAATCTAATCCAAGTCAACCCATTAAACCTACTAAGTTAACTAGGTTTCTCAGGTTGAAGCCAGGTTGACTAAGCTAAAATCAAGTCACAAAGTGACCGGTTTGATCAATCAACCAGATCAGCCAAATGACTGGTTCACTGGTCAACCTGGTGGTCATCAATGTAGGTCCATTAGTTGGTTTCACATTAGATGGCAACAACTTGTATGCTTATGAGAAAAGTAAAAATCCCAGCAAGGCCAAATTATATCAACATAGAGGCAGCACCCAACAAAACGAGGAGATCACAGATAGTAATTAATTAATTAAGTACAAGGGGGAAAATCCATGAAGATACTCAACCATTCTATCGTTACAAACTAATTAATCTTCTGCTTAAATGGCTAATGCTTTAGAAGGCCACCTTTCTGGGAGGAATGACCACATTTTTGTTTCTAGCACTACTACAAAATAGACTTTTCACGTCGCATTTTTAGGCCTTTTCACGTCACAACTGTAGGGGACATCATACTGGGAGACTTAAAATAATGGCTCTTCCACGTCACAAACAATGGAGACATGGAAAAGAATAAACCACGTCCCTTTTAATATTAAAAGAGAGGTCGTTTCTATATAATTCACATCCCTATTTTACTAGAAAGGGACGTGATTTCCATATAAACCACGTCCCCCCAAATAAGGGGGATGTGCTACTCATGTTGTCAGAGAAACCACGTCCCCCCCCAAGTAAGAGGGACGTGGTTTATTGGAGAAACCACGTCCCTCATTCATGAGGAGAAAGTGGTTTGTTCTGAGCACACATCTAGGCTACGTCCCTCCTTTTAATAATGTGACGTGGTTTGTTTTTTATATACCAACATTTAATAAAGGTAGCAAGGAAATACAAGAAAATTAAAAGTTTCCCTTCCTAAATAATAAAAAATCTAGTAAAATATTTTACAAAAAATATTATAAATATATAAATTATATACAAATATTATATATAATACTATCTTATATATATATATATATATATTATAACGTTTTATATATAATGAGCAAAAATATCATTCATTCTTTTATACTCCCTTTTTCTTTTTTTGCTAGCATATGATAGCAT